GCAAATTATGACAAATATTCAACATTTTTTTATACATTTGATAAGTACATTTTAGAAGTACCGTGAAAAGGAAACAATTTGTACGTGCGTGTGTGTGTGCGTTTGTATTTTTTTTAATATTCTTATATATTTTGGTTTGCTTTAAGGGTCTCACATGTTACACATGTATGACTGTCAGTACTGGATTTCTTGTCTGGGTCTCTTGTGTCACTCTCCTCTCAGGGGGAAAAAAAAAGCAACCAATTCCTGTTTGGTTGAAATAAAGTCACCTGGTAGGTTTGTACAGTGGGTGGATCTGTGTAAACAGCCTGGTTTTACCAGTTTAGGCACATTTCCACACACTACAATAGAAATGACATATATTTCCATTTGCTCACTAGTGAGTGAAGAAAGTGCAGTTTCAGTTGGAGGTTTTGGAAATTTACAACAAATTTAAGATCATTTGTCAGCACTGAAACACTGCTTACATTATAATGCACCTTCAACTTCTTGATCAGCTATGTACTGTTGTGTTAGACATTGGGGGAAAAAATACAACAAGATTCTCTTTTACAAGCCATTTACTTTATTAGGAAAAAAACAAATTTGGCCAGATATTTTGGCCAGCATTTTGAAAAAACGTGTATGTAATATTTTAATTTATAACAGTGTTGAAAACAAATCACTGGTTTACAATCTGAAAAAAGGGCCTAGTTGACAATTTGTTCTTGGAGAGCAAGTCAGAAACTGTAAAGAACGCAATATCAACATGCAATTGTTGTAACATTAACAGATGTAATAGATTACACATACTGTGCTAGAATATAATTTAGTGTGAATTAAGCAAAAGGGTTAAAAAAAACAAACCCAAACAAGGAATATAGAAATCCAGCAGTTTGTCAGCATCGAAACACATTCAAGTCCATAATGATTCGGAGTATTTGCAGTACACTTTGATAAGTAAAGAAATATCTGGTTGTTTCAAGTGAACGACAGTTAATCAGTTCTCCTCATCAAATGTGCCAAATTTTGGCAAGTTTATTTAAAAAAAAGTCCAAAAATCTTTAGTATTGACTTGGTGCGTATATCACAGATCCAGGTGGGGCTGCAGAGTAAGCAGGCTGGTAGGCATATGCTGGCTGGTAGGTGTATGCTGGCTGGTTGGTGTATGCGGGTTGGTAGAAGCTTCCTGTGGGGTTGTATTGAAACCTCTCATCTGGATCTTGGGTGCGGGGAGCATGGCGGCAAAGCAGGATCACTCCGGCACTGAAAAGCAACGCTGAAGTCACCCAGCCAATGTAAAGGGCCTCCCCGAGCTCTCTACGCTGGGCATCGATCAGTAGAGGGTTGTAAAAATCTCGGATGATGACATGGGCTGTCCAGGACACGGGAATTATGATTGTAAGGCAACCCATGAGGAACAGGCAGCCACCAGCCACAAGAACAATATGCTTGGTACGAGCCCGGTGGTCCACCACTTTTGTGCATTTCATCCCCACTGCTGAAACAATAAGGGCGAAGGTGGTCAGAGCCACAGAGCTGCACATCAGACCCCTGGCAGCCTGGAGATCAGGAGGCAGAAACAGCAGGGAATCGTACACTTTACATTGCATTCTGATGTTGGCTTGTCTGTAGCAGTTCATCCACAAACCCTCCCAGCGGGTCTCCATGACGATAATGTTCTCCTGAATAAAGGCTGTTACCTTCCACATCGGCAGGCCCGTCACAGCGGCAACGCCAATTAGTCCAATGAAGCCAATGATGAGAGCTACTACCTCACAGCAGATAGCATTTTGTTGCTTCTGTTTTTCAATTTTCTTCTTTTCCTCATATACAGAGTCCCCATACTCTCCGTACTCTCCATTTGTCAGCGCCGGCTTCCCATCGTAGTAACTGCCAACATAAGATTGAGGTGGCTTGCTGTAGCCACTGTAAGCAGTGTAAGTGGCCATTCTGGTTAACACAGAAAGCTTAATCTCAACCTTCTGGTGCACTTATACAGCTGAAGAGAAAAATCTGAGAACAACAACAAGTTGAGGAACTTATACACCCACAAAAACTATGCTAATGATGCAATGCAGCCTTACTGGTTAAGCTGCTTCAGAGCCATCAGATAAATGGCGAGACACAAAGGAGTGCTGCTTGTTTTGAATACCTCCAGTACTAATGATCAGTCGTTAGTTTTTAGTTATTAAAAATCACTAAATCTTGTTACCACAGTAACATCAAGGTTTAATCAACATCATATTTAAAAAAAAAAATCAAGCAAAAAAAGTCAAAGTTAATGAAAAGTATGTAAGATATTTTTAATACTACACGGAAATACTTGACGTAATTTTAGAGAACATTTAGCATAGGGAAAATGTATTGTGAACATACAATGTAATATCTCAGTACTATTACATGTGCTAACTTAAAATTAACTAATGCAATGTGTGGCCAGTTTTATCATTTGAAAGGATTTGCCAGATAAAAAAGACTTGCTATAAATGTTGAAAAAATGAATAAAACTAATATAACAACTGTAGCATCCAACTACACTAATGGGCGTAGGAAACGACTCCATCTCACAAACAGAAAGCTGATGGGTGGATGATCACAGATGTGAAACGCACTGCTTCTCTACACGTAAGACGAGCTGATGAAAAGGTGTCGCACAAAGAAACCTGAGGGGGAGGGCCTTTTGTCATTATCACACAGGGTCGTTCCCTTGTTGCAGCCACAGAAACATTTTAGTTTCTGTTCTGTCAAATGTGAAAATGAGGCACTTCTTCATTGGCTGTTTTCACTTTTCCACCTTAGGTTTTTAGTACAAGAAAAATACCTGAATGGAGTGTTGGTCAAGTATTTGCTTTCCACAAAAAAGTAGAAATTCTATGAATTGAATCACACAAACAAACTGAATTAAAGATTTTAATAAATTATCTGTTCACTTGGTTGGCGGGATTATTAGATCATGAAATCTAATGAAATAAGACAGGGAAGCAGTTGCATTTGTCATGTCTCAGATGAGAAATTCATCACTAAGCACAACAAAAATGACTTAAATAAATACAGAAAATACAGACTTGCAGCCAAAAAAGTACTTAAAAACAGTGATGACATTCTCAGGGTCATTGGAGTAAGAGCTGCATTAAGATTGAAGTTGATCGGTGATAGCCACTGCAAGCAGTGTATTGTTGATCAGTGATAATATAGATTTGCCAAAAATTATATTACTTTAAACACAGGCAATGTTGTTTATTCGTGTACAGCATATTAACCAAATATTTTTGCTGCATCTGTAAACCAAACAGTGCAGACAAGACAAATGCATAGTACAATAGAACATGGTTACATATTGATTTAAATATATCATTGCAAATAAAACACATGTTGCTCATAAATATACAGAGAGACATCTAATATGCAATTAGTACACTGCAGTACAGTTGTTTACACATATTCCTGATTTGTATGAAAACTAGATTTCGCTCTTGAAAAGTCAACACTGTCCGCCTTCTGTTCATTCCTTTTCACCATATGATATGCTTCAATGTAGCGCTGATCTTCCTTTGCACTGCGTTTGCTGTACCTAAACAGCACAATGATCCCGGTGATTAGCAAAACACCAGAAGTGGCCCAGCCAATGAAGAGGGACAATCCCAGCTCCCGCTTCTGAGCATCCAGCGTTGTCGGGTTATAGAAGTTACTGATGACAGTATGGGCCACCCAGCTTACGGGGATGAGTGTGGTCAAAAAGGAAAGTAGAAACAGAATCCCTCCTAATGCATAGGTGATATTCTTACTCTTTAAATTGTCACCACAACAGCTGCTCTTCTGGATCCCGAATCCTGTGAGCAACAACGAGATGAAAGCCAGGACTATGGAGACACACATGAGCCCCCTCGCTGCCTGCAGCTCTGGTGGGAGAATTAACAGCGAGTCATACACCTTGCACTGGATGTTGATGTTAGCCTGTCGGTAGCAGTTCATCCACAAGCCCTCTAAGAGCTCCTCCATGACGATGATGTTGGCACCGATGAAGGCAGAAACCCTCCAATGGGGCAGACAAGTGGTGACTATTGTCCCACATAAGCCCAGGGCGCCCAGGACCAGTGCTAAAATCTCAGATTTTGCCTGCATCGTTTGGAAGGATAAAGTTTCGTCTCTCGTCTCTTGTCTAATGAAAACACTGCCCAGTGCACCTCTTTTACAAAGCTTTAAAACTGCGATACTATCAGCATTCCTGTAATGTTATCATACTGGTTTCGGTTTATCAGATTGCTTACTGTCAGTGCGCCCCAGGGTGGCTGTGGCTACAATGTACAGTGGGGCAAAAAAGTATTTAGTCAGCCACCGATTGTGCAAGTTCCCCCAC